CTGTCGCCCCCCCCCCCCCCCCCCCCCCCTTCGAGAGGCACCTTGTCCCCAAGGTGGAACTGTGGAAACTGTTGCTAGATCACATCCAAAGGCTCCCAAGTCGCCTCCTAGCTAGGTAGGCCACGCCACACCACCGGCCCTTCGACTTGAGGCGAATCACTACCAGGGACCACGCATGTGCGGACATCAGCGGGTTCCACTACGAGTTCTAGCTCTGCAGTCAACTGTTCTGGTGAGGGCTGGTGCTTATACTCCTTACCCTTGAATGGCTTCAGTTGCGACACATGAAAAACCGGATGGATGCGAGCCTCTGCCGGTAATTGAAGACGATAGGCCACAGCTCCCACACGCTCGAGAACAGAAAAAGGTCCGTAGAAGCGGGGGGAGAGCTTCTCATTTACCTTGCGCGCCAAGGACTTGAGGCGGTATGGGCGGAGCTTGAGCAAGACCAGGTCTCCTGGCGAAAAATTCACCTCTCGACGGTGGGCGTCTGCGAATTTTTTCATGCGGTGTTGTGCGTCCACCAGATGGTGCTTTAAGCAGTCCAGCATTTGGTTCCGTAACTGCATCTGGAGATTGACATCTTCGACCAACGAAGGCCCTTGGTCAGATTTCCCCTCCGCTCCCGTCGGCAGACCGGCTAGTACATCTTGGAAACGAAGCAAGGACGGAGGACGGCCATAAACGGCCTGGAAAGGCGTGAACTGGGTAGAGGCGTTGTAGTTAGTGTTGAACCAATACTCTGCCCATGGCAGAAACTGAGCCCACAGCTTCGGTTTGTTGCAGGCAAAGCAGCGCAAATAAGTTTCCAGGCAGCATTGACAACCTCGGTTTGGCCATCGGACTCCGGGTGATAGGCGGAACTGTGATGCAATTTTGTGCCATATGCTTGAAGAGTTCCTGCCATGCAGACGGAATCACGATCACTCACAATCACTCACTCACAATTGTTCGAGGAATGCCATGCAAGCGGACTATCTCGTGGATGAAGACTTCCGCTACTTGCTTGGCTGCAACAGGGTGAGCGATGGGGCAGAAGTGAGCATATTTGGTCAGCCGATCAACCACCACAAGGATCGTATCAACGTTCCTTACGCGGGGCAGGCCTGTCACAAAATCCATGGAAACGTCTTCCCAAATCTGCTGCGGAATCGGGAGGGGCTGCAATAACCCTGCCGGTGACAGGGCCTCATACTTGGAACGCTGGCAAGTCGCATAGTGGGCAACATAGTCCCGAATAGCCTTCTTCATTCCTGGCCAACAAACGTTGGAGGAGAGTCGTTTGTAGGTGCGGAGGAACCCAGAATGTCCCCTCATCGCGAAGTCGTGGAACTCATGTAACAAAAGCGGAACCCAATCTGAGTTAGGGGGTAGCACAATGCGGTCTCGGCAATAGAGGAGGCCATTCTGCAGGGTGTACCTTCTGGAGTTCACCTGGCCAGCCTGCAATTGGGAAATCAGCTGCGCACACACATCATCTGCCCGCTGTTCACGCTTGATGGCTTCCACGTCCAGTAACCGGGGCACAGATAAGGCCATATAAGTGCAAGTCTCCTCCTGGCGTGACAGTGCATCAGCTACGCGATTGGCAGCCTCCGGTTTGTATTGCACTTCAAAGTCATACCCCATAAGTTTGTAAATCTAGCGAAGGTGTTCCGGAGGGAGGAGGCGCTGGTCCAGCAGGTACCTGAGGCTCTGTTGGTCTGAGCGGACCACAAAATGTCTCCCAAGAAGGTAGTGACGCCACTTTTGGACCGCCAAAACCACTGCCATCAATTCCTGTTCATACACCGCCTTCAACCTTGAATTCGGCGACAAGGCCTTACTGAAAAATGCTATCGGTCTTCCCTCCTGCATCAAAACCGCACCTAGGCCCGTACCCGATGCATCGGTCTCTACGACAAAGGTCTTGGAAAAATCTGGCAAAGCCAAGACTGGGAGGGTGGTCATGGCAAGTTTCAACGCCTCGAAGGCATGGGAAGCTGCCTCTGACCAAGAAAATGCCCCCTTCTTGAGTAGGTCCGTAAGAGGTCGGGCAAGGGCTCCATATCCCTTGACGAATCGACGGTAGTAACCCGTCAGGCCGAGAAACCCCCGGACCACGCACACTTTTCTAGGCTCTGGCTAATTCCGAATTGCCTGTAGTTTCTCTGGATCGGCGGAGACCCCATCTCCGGAGATTATGTGCCCTAAGTACTCCAGCCAGAGCTGCCCAAACACACTTCTTCCTATTCACGAACAACTTTTTTGCGCGCAAAACCCCCATCATGGTGGCCAAGTGAACCCTATGTTCCTCCCACGTGCAACTGTAAACAAGGATGTCATAAAAAAAAACCAACACGAACTTTCGCAAATAGGGCCTAAACACTGAATTCATTAGGGAGTGGAAGGTTGCGGGTGCATTTGTCAAGCCGAATGGCATCACTAAAAACTCGTAGTGCCCCTCATGGGTACGGAACGCAGTTTTCTCGATGTCTCCCTCTCGAATCCTGATTTGATGGTACCCTGCCCGTAAATCCAGTTTTGAGAATACCACTGCCCCATCCAGTTCGTCTAACAGTTCATCAATAATTGGGATCGGAAATTTGTCGGGTACCGTAATTTGATTAAGGGCCCTATAATCTACGAAACCTCCAACTTCCATCCCTCTTTTTCACTAGAATCACCGGACTGGAGAAGGGACTAGTACTAGGCCTAATAATTTCGGAAGTCATCATTTCGGTCACTAACCTCTCAATTTTCCCTTTTTGGACATAAGGATATCGATACGACCGAATATTCGGCGGTGTGGCCCCCTCCGTCAAAACAATCTGATGGTCTGCGTTGCGGGCCGGAGGCAGTCCCACTGGGGTCGAGAAAACGACCCCAAACCTGCGTAACACCCCCTGCAAAGCCAGAGGGGCTACGGGGGTCGCCTCGGCATCAGCCGTGACTTCAGTTTCACACAGCTCAATTAAGGCCATTTGTGGGGTCTTAAACTGCCGAGATAGGGAGTGCAAACTTACCTGGGAACAGCTCAAGGACGGATCGCCCTGCCAGCCTACTCATCCAGAGCCATCGAAGAACTTCAGCGTATACTTCGACCAATCCGCTCGGATTTCCCCAAGCGTCCGCAGCCACGTAACCCCCAGCACAACATCTACGCAGCCCAACTCAAAGGGGAAGAAGTCCTCCACTACGCGGAGCGCCTGAATCCACAGCTCCACCCCATTGCACACCCCTTGTTGCCGGAACTTCATCCCGTTCTCCACCTGTACCCTATAGCAAGTAGTACGGTCACAGGGCACCCCCAACTCCTCCACCACCTTCGATGATAGGAAGCTGTGCGATGCTCCGCTATCGATCAATACCACCACTTGGCGGGTCCCCAACTGCCCCACCACCTTCATCGTGTTCGAGGAGGTAAACCCAAGCAAGGAGTTAAGGGATAAATCTACCTCTTCGTCGGTGGCTCCACCTCTTCCTCCTGTGCCTCCTCCAACTCTGCTTCTTCATCGGCCACCAAGAGCACCTGTAACTGCCGGTTTTTGCATCTGTGTCTTGGCCCAAAATTTTCATCGCACCAAAAACATAGGCCCTTCGCTCGTCGTGCTTGGATCTCGGCATCGGAAAGTTGCCTGAATCCAGCGTCTCGACTGGTCGCCGCCCCTGGGACTAACGCGGAATCAGACTTCACGCGTGGGAAGGATCCAGACTCCTTCGAGCCACTGGACTGAAGGGAGCTCTGATTGTAGGGGTAATTCCCCCTGGGCTGGTCCATGTTGGCAATTCCTCGCCCTGGCCCATCTGGTTTCCACACTCGGCCCAATCGCATCTTTCTGAACTTATCTTGGGCTTCGTTCCGGTCCTCCACCTGCTGGGCCAGGTCCATGGTTTCCTGGAGGTTGATGGGCCTATGTAGCTTAACCTCCGCCCGGATGTCCTCCCGTAACCCATTCAGAAACGCCCCCCTGAAGATGGGCTCAGGAACTCCCTCAACGCCGCCGCCAACATTTCAAAGGAGTCACGATATTCTGCTACAGGCCCATCCTGCTTCAACGACATCAATCTCTCCGTGGAGTCTCCCTCTCTTGCGCAGCTGAAGCGGTGTAGCAGGGCTGCTCGGAATTCCCTCCAGCTTGCAAATGGCTCCTGCGCCTCAGCCCATTGGAACCAGCCTAACGCTTGCCCTTTCCAAACACACCGACGCCGCCAACACCCTTTCATTCTCCGCCACCTCATTGATCAAAAAATATCGCTCGGCTCGGAATAGCCAGCCGTAGGGATCTTCACCGATGAAGATGGGTAACTCGAGTCTCCTTCCACGGTGCTCAACTCGGCCCCGCCGTACTGGAGATCCCTGCCTGTCTTCGCGCTCCATCTCCCTGTCCCTGTCCCTAACTCCCCGTCGGAGAGCTGGATCTCGATCTCCTCCAAAGTGGCGTCCTAAGAGAGCTTCCATGCGCGCCGTCGCATCTTGTACCCTCTCCACCCGTTCTGCCAGAATTGCCACATCCTCTTGTAGCCTGGGAACCGGATCTACCATCGCTCCGAGGAGTCGCACCGCTTCCTGGAGATCTCCCATATGACGCTCTACGTCCTCCGCCCGATCTGGACGCAGCTTAGCTGGACGGTTGGCCATGGACCGGTGCTCTGATACCAAATTGATAGGTACCTAGCCTGTTCTTCCCAGATTTAAGCTAAATAACTTGAAAACTGAATGAAAACTTCCAGAAAAATAGGTTCCGGTTCCTTTTATTAATCAAAACTTCTTAATTCCAGAATTACAGAAAAGATGGACTAACACAGCTAGAAAAGAAAGTGAAAGAAAGATTCTGAGAGTATTCAAGGTCTCTCTTCCTCCCTAGGCTAGCCAAGTTTTCACAGGATTCGATATCCCCCCCTCGCGCACGTACCCTCCCCTATGTTCCTTTTCCAACCAATTCCCCTAACGGAATTGCCATCTCAGCATCCATGTTAGGATTGTCCATGTCACTTCCTTTCTTACCTATTTTACCCCTCCTAGCATAGGTAAATTTCAAAGGAGGCCCAGATGAGGTTCTATCAAAATTCTAATACAAAGAGTTGGAAGTTAGGCCTTAACTTTTACTAATGAGATTCAGTTAGACAATTTGTGACAGAAACTAATGACATTCACTGAGCAAAGATTTGATGCAAGGCATTCATTGAAATTGAAAGTCTCTTATTAGTTAAAGTAGTTTTTCTTTTTATTATGTTCTAAATTCTGGTTTAAATTCCAATTCCTGATTATAGAGAAAAGAAGAGTTGTACTCGATGGAACAAGATATTCTTCTGCGGTCGGTCCAGATTATTAAGCAGCATGGTGCTATGTTGGGCAGCAGTTTCCAAGATATGGCTAGCCAGTAATATGGAGGGATTGCATGGAGGTTGGAGCATTTTGTTTCTTGTATTTGTTTTGAAGTAACTTGTACACTGAATGTTGACCGCTTGCGGAAAAGCTTTTAAACAGATATTAGTCACAACTTGTCTTGATTTGGTTTTTGTTTCTTTGTTTTTTTCCCCCTCACGAAATACCTCATGATTTGGTTTTTGTTTTTGTGTTGTTTCATGAGATGATTCTCCAAACATCAGTGGCTTAAAATTTCAAAGGCTTGAGTATGAATCCTGGGTCTGTCCTTTTGAATGTCTTAACCGGTTCCATTGGTTTTTTGTCTTTTAAGTCCTGTACCTAATCATCGGGGAGTTTCATTTTTCATTTTAGATCCTTTCTACTACTTTTTTTAATTGTTGTTTTTTATTATCTTTTAGTAAATGATCCAAGTTTTGTTAAATTAAAAAAATTTATGTATGTCGTTTTAAGAAATGGCTAATCAATAATGTACTGACTTGTGATTTATTACTGATTAACTTAGTAGTTGATAAGATCTTGTTGACAGATTCGTGGACAATTGGTAAGAAAAGATTGAGAAAGATAAAAATCAAGTAGAATTCTTTATTAAATGAAGTAGAATGTACATTGATAAGCGGATCTTCGAGGGTCCGCTGCATCCCCACTTGGATTAGTTCCAAGATTTTCCCTTGAACAAACACTAAAATCTTTTTTTTTTTTCCTTCTCTAACCGTTCCCTCCTCCCCCTTTTATTCCCTCACAATCTTTCTTCACAAGCTAACTAAGCTAACTAACAATCTTTCTTCACAAGCTAACTAACAATCTTATTTAACAAGCTAACTAACAGTCTTGCTTAACAACCTTCCTAATTCTTCTTATTCTTCTTGCCTAAGTAAAGACTTATCAATTACACCCCCCTAAGAAATGTCACATTGTCCTCAAGGTGGAAGGCTGGAAACTGCTGCTAAATGACATCAAAGAGCTCCCAAGGGGACTAAAAATCATGTAAATGGCGCCATTTAATAGAACCTCCAATTGCCCTGTGGATGGAGAATAGCGAGTATCCACAACTCGTTTCGGTTCCACCTGCAAGGTCAAATCCTCAAAAAGAATCGGGGGAAGGGATTGAGGTATCCCAGTAGGACCAATTGCCTTCTTGAACTGTGAGACATGGAAGATAGGGTGAAGTTTAGCACCAGGAGGGAGTTGCAAGTGGTAAGCCCCTGAGCCAACGCGGTGATGACGGGAAAGGGCCATAATACCGGGGGTATAGTTTTTCATTAACAACCCGAGCGAGCAAGCGATGACGATAAGGCTGCAACTTCAAGTAGATTGCATCTCCCACCTCAAAAGATAAATCTCGACGCTTGGCATTGGCATGCACCCGCATGGATTGCCGAGCACGACACAAGTGTTCTTTCAATTCAGCCAAGAGGACATCACGATCATGTAACTGTTTGTCCAAGGCGGAAATGGCTGTGGAACCCGAAATATACGGAACCAAAGTAGGGGGATCCCGGCCATAAAGGGCTTTGAAAGGAGTCATAGCAGCCGAGACATGATAGCTGGTATTATAACAAAACTCAACCCAAGGGAGGTGGTGAAACCATTGCCACGGGGTGCCAGACACAAAACAATGCAAATAAGCCTCCAAGTGTGGATAATAGGCTGTACTGCGGCATAAAGAAGTCCCTTGCAGCTTGAAAAGTTCGGTCCAAAAATGGCTGAGAAAGATGCGATCCCGATCCAAAATAATACTACGCGGAAAGCTATGAAGGCGAACAACCTCCTTAACAAAGAGGGTAGCCACCGACTTGGCAGTAAAGGGATGCTGGAGACCCAAAAAATGCGCATACTTGGTAAGCCGGTCAACCACCGCCAAGATGGAATCATATCCCTCCAATTTAGGAAGTCCTTCAATGAAGTCCATGGAGATATCTTCCCAAACGTGATCGGGAATAGGGAACAGATGCAATAAGCCTCCAGGAGATAGAGTGGACGACTTGTTTTGTTGACAAACAACACAAGCCGACACAAAAGCATCCACATCATTACGCATGCCTTTCCAATAGAATTCTCGAGCCAACCGCTTGTAAGTTTTAAGGGTCCTGGAATGACCACTAATTTTACTTCCATGGAACTCGTGCAACAAGGTGGAAATGAGCAGAGAATGTTGCGGAAGAACCAAATGCCCCTTGAAAAGTAGTTGGTCGTGTTGCAGCGTGTAACCCTTTCTAGATGCAGCCCCTTGAACAAACTCAGCCTGGATCTGTGTAAGGTGTGGATCGGCCAATACATGCTGGTGCAAATAAGCAATGTCAAGAACCACCGGTGAAGTCAACACCATCAATTCGAGTCCACTGTGCTTCCAGGATAGAGCATCGGCTGCCTTGTTCTCAACCCCCATTTTATATTGGATGTCAAAGTCATAATCCAACAACTTGCATAACCACTTTTTGTGTTCCACACTTACTAACCATTGTTCAAGTAGGAATTTTAAACTTTTCTGGTTGGTTCGCACCACAAAAGGCCGGCCAAGTAAATAGTGGCGCCATTTATGGACAACCAACACAATGGCCATAAGTTCCCTCTCATAAACCGATTTGGCGCAAGCACGAGAAAAGAGAACTTGACTAAAGTAAGTGATAGGCCGCTGGTTTTGCATGAGCACCGCACTAATGCTGAAGTCCGACACATCGGATTCCATGACAAAAAGTTAGTCATGGCTCGTTTTAACTGTTGGAAAGCAGAGTCGGCTTCAGCAGTCCAAAGAAAACTGTCCTGCTTCAGTTGTTGTGTAAGGGGCCAAGAGATGTGGCCATACCCCTCCACAAATCGTAATAGCCGGTAAGGCCCAAAAAACCTTGTAGCTCCTTGATAGTCCTAGGTGTAGGCCAATCCAACATTGTTTGGATCTTGCTTGGGTCAGCCGAAACACCCTCTTTAGAGACAACGAGCTTGTATTCCGCGCGTTGCTGCGGAATACAGTATAAAACATTGATGCATATTAGATCTATACACAATATAATGTTGTATCATGTGAAGGATTTAAGATTATTACAAACATATTTACAAATATATAGATATACAATATTGTAATTCAAAATGTATTTACATGTATATACAATATAAAACACTGATACTTATTAGATTTATCGTGCTCTTCTTTTTAACTGCAAGACAGGCATGTTAAGAAAGAAAAATTAGTAAATGTAATTTTTAAAAAAGTTGACAAACTTTTATTATATAGTGTAAATTAAAGGAGCTAAAAATATTTATATTACCTTGTCGAATTTGATAATACCATATGTATTCATAGTAATATTCACACAACCTATGCAATACATTAAAAATCAAAGTTTTTGTAACATCATCATCGCTCCAGTATAAAAAATGTGGAAAAAAATTATAGCAAATAAAAAAGGTAGAATTCATTTGCCAAAAAAAAAAGTAACATGTACATATATAGATTTTATGTAAGAAATTTATTTGGAAAAAGTTAAACAGAGAACAGGTAATGAAAAAGAAAATATATACAGCCAAAAAACTATTTAAAACATTAGTAAGGATAAAATACATCTGTCACTAAGAATGATTAAGAATAGAACAGACTAACAATAATCAATATATAATAATAGCTTCTAGTAATAACATATTATAAAATGGTATGAACAGACAATATAAAATAAATAGATCATATATTAATATCAGCACAGCATACCAATATATCAAATATCAGCACTAGATGTGAACAAAATTAAGGCAAGATTCATTAAAAATAACTGGATTAGCAACTAACCAATGCCAAATATAGAGAAAAAAAGGATCCACAGATAGCAACAGAAAGCAGCAAACGATTGTTAATTAAGCAGAGCAGTAAATGATTGAGAGTGAAAATACATTTGATCTTTAATGTCTCACACCCAATCTACTTCAAATAAGCAAAAAACAATAGAAAATATTATCATATAATGAATATTTATAAGATAAATACTCGTTAGAAAAGAAAGTTAAAACATCCTTTACAATATATTAACTTCAATAAATGCATTACATATACATTTTTCATCAGTTCATAAAAAAAAAACTACTGTCATGTTGTTGTGTTGAGTCATTAGAAAAAAAAATTTATTGAAACCAATATATATATATATATATATATATAACAAAAATATGCTAAAGCAATGAATTTTTATAGCAATAGAAGATAAACAAAATAGACAAATATTTACTAATTGCTTAGTTCAGGTATTTATCTTCTATTGTTAACTATGTATATCATATGTAATTGAAATAAGACCTAGTAATGTACTTGGTTGCCATCTAAGTTATTACTGGATTTATTCAGAAGACAAAAAAAAAAAAAAAAAAAGGCTTAAAATTAGAACTTACACAGAAAGGACAAAGAAGACATATATTAGAACAAACAAATAAAGAAATAAAAAACCAAAGACTGAACGATAGATTTGCATTACTCAAAGATGAAAGCGATTCATTATGAGACACACAAAGCAAATATTGAAATGTGATGAGTAAGAATAACCGCAAAATGTTCAAAGAACACTAATTTTGACAGAAAGAAATTACATCATCAATACCAAAGAACATTAATACCTTACCCATAAACAAACTGTTAAATAATTGCATAAATCCAAAATAATTCGGGAAACATAAAAAACAGCTAAGTCTCTGTTAACAGTCAAATGATCTATTACAATAGAAGAGAAGTACATCATCATCAAGAGTAAAGCTTTACAAAAAATATACTGTTAAAAGGAAAAAAAATTAATATATATATATATATATAATATATAAACCAAACACATAACTAAATAACAATATTAAAAATAACAGACACTAAGCAACGATAAGAAAAAAAAATTACAGAATAAAAAATAGCATAATCATATAAACAAATAAACATCAACTGATAAATTAATAAATAGAAAAATTGATATAACAAATCAAAATAACATCAGAAAGCAATACTTTAAAAAGGTAATAAACATATGTAAGAAAAAAAATAAGATTACCTCTATCAAAGAAACACATTGCACATAACAGCTCCAATAGAACAACAAAAATTCCAGATGAAAGAAAACCAGATAGAACAACCCAGCGGTAAAAACTGACCAGAAGAAAGGTATCAACAGAATGTCCAAAAGACAATAAAAAAACTACTAAAAGCCTAACGACAATAATATTTTGTAAACTGTAAGAAAACAGATGAACCAAA